TGTTAAATAACAGTAAATTGTTTTACAGTTCAAAACTGTTAACAAGCTTAAATGTTCTCAAACCAGATTGCTGAAATTTTATTTCCACTTCTTATGGACTCAAAGACTGTTCAGTTTATTTTTATTTTATTTTTATGTTACTACATTCAAAAAATGCAAATTGCCAAGTCTTAAATGGTCAAATCTTCTTTAATACCTTTTTAGTAAAAAAAAAAAAAGAGCCAACTTTGGCTTAAAATGTGCCTTTTCTAATATATATACAACAAAAAAAGGAATGTTCAACAGTGTTGTGAGTTCTGGAAAAAGGCCAGTTACATGTCTGGACTGGTGCGTTTTGAAACAATTTAGAAAAATAAATAAAATATATATAATGTTATGATTAAATAAACATTTCGGCAACACCATTACTCCCTATTTGTAATTTATAATTACCTATCAGGGAAAACTACAATGGCAAATGTTTTTAATGAGAAAAGTAATTCACACAGTAAACATATTTAATATTTTTCCACTGATTGCACATTTTACAACAAGAGCATCATACTGCAATCGAAGAATCGACACTATGAAATGCTGGAGTGTGTGTTCTTCTAAATTACTCTACACAGTGCTATTTTTTCACACATATATAAAATAATTACATTCAATAAAAAATATAAAACAACCTTTGTCAACCCCCAAACCTGTTAAATAATTCTACAATTGAAGCTTTTCACATGCTGAGACAGGAAGGTTGCAATAGTCCACTGTTGCATTCCTCCGAAATATTGCACAACTGTGTGTTGTTATCTTCAGTGCCACAGGTCCATTTCTGATTGAGGTACATAGTTAAGTTAATGATTTCCATACAGAGTCAAATACATGACTACTTGTTTGCTATGTGTCCTTCTGTGCGTCCATCCTTGCTCGGTATGTTACAGAGATAATGACTCATCAGAGCTTGAAACAAGTTTTTGGTGCTCAGAATCTGTCGATTTTTGCTTCCCTTTCCTCTTCTGTGATTTGTGAAGATCTGCTGGCATCAACATGCGAGTCCGCTTTTATCTCATGTTCTTCAAAACTCAAATTTTCATAAACTTGCTTTGCTTGGGACTTCATCCTGAGCTCTTCGTTGGCCTTTGCGTTCGCCTGCAGTTGCTCTTGCAGCAACACTGCTTTATTGACACCAGGACCTGAGAGAAGGAAACATGGACAGTAAGTCCACAGTGTCACTGGTGCCCTCTGCTGAATTTAACAATGAAATGGAGATTTTGTTTTGTAAAAAAGTACATACCAAAATAACTGAGCAGGACAGGAAGGAATATGAGTCCATGAGCCATCCCCAAAAGTGTGATGACAAGATTTAAGCGGAAGAAGAAAATCTGGATGAGCTGTGCTTTGGCAAACGCCAGCACGAGGATGCCCGGCAGGTTGGTCATAGCAACACCAGCGAACACCTTCAGGGTACAAAATAAGAATTTTTAACTCAGGCACCTCTTACTTTGAGGTGTGATGCGTGTGTTCATACAATCATCTTTGTGTGGCAATAAAATATGTGTATCTGCCTAATTTCTGCTTTAAATTTTTCAGGGATTAAAAATGTATGTTTACTTACTGCGCTGCCCATACTGGCTGTCGCGTCCTTCGCTCTCTCCACATGTGTGGGCTTCGTGCTGAGTGCAAAGGATCTTGTCATATGGGACACAAACTCCACAGAGATGCCCACCGCCTGTATAAGACGGATATAACGTAGGTTAGTACAGTAATAAAACAATGAAACAAAATGATGATGATATGAATTACAAACATCTTGTTTTGTCCTATTGAAAGTATAACATAGGAGCCTAATGTCTACAGAACATGGGGAAAATCTAAAAGGATCAATCCAGCAGTTTATTGTATAACATACATAATCGACTTAAACAAGAGTGAAGACTAAAAGTAAAACGGTCAGTGTAGCAGCTAAAAAGTACAGATTTTAGTCTCTATATAGGTGAGTTTCCAAAAACACTGGAGCCTACATTGCCAATAATGCAATGGTATCTTTCATTAAGCCAAAGACTAGAGAAGACTCATGTTTTTTTGTGTGTTTTTTTTTAAAGTTTGTAACACAGGCCTTTTTAGTAGTTTTTCAATATACTAATTATTTTGAAAGCTGGGAGGCTGATGCTCATACAATAGTTTTTCGAGACCTGTAAGAAAGACTTTTTACATTATCATTCCCAACTGATGTAAGCAATATTTCTCACTAAAAAACAGGGATTAATCTAATTATACAAAAATACAGTCGTCCTCAAATGTATTCATACCCTCCCATTAAAGACGGGAAAAAAACAGCTGTCACTGACATAAGTTGAAATTGACAAAAGTAATAATAAAGAAAGAAATAATGAAAATCATGACATTGCTTTTGAATTGTGTTCATCAGAAATATTAAAAACAACAACAACAACAACAAAAATAGTCAGGTACAAAACCACACAAGCAAACAAACAAAAACTCCTTTGTCCCCCGAGCCATCAAACTGTTCAACTCTGAGCTCGGGGGGAGGGGGAGGAGCAGCAAGTGGGGAGAGGTAGGGGGCGAGGGGTGAGGAGTGAGGACATTGGGGTGAGATAGAGCATCATGCTCTATCACCAGACTGTGTGCAATATGTTACTGTATCTGTATATTGTATACTGTAATATGTTATTATTATCATTATTGTTATTATTGTTGCTGTTGTTGTTGCTGATTTTGAATGATTTTGATTTTGAATTTGAATGCTGATTTTGATTTTTGAATGCTGTTGTTGTTGCTGATTTTATGTTGGTGTTGTGTTGTTTTTTTCTGGTGTAGCAATTTCCCTGAGGTCTTGTACCGAAGGGATCAATACTAATTCTAATTCTAATTCTAAGCATGATAGGACCCGTAAACTAATATTTTGTTGAACATCCCTTTGAGCCAATCACTGCAATCAAGTGTTTTCTGTAACTCTCAATCAGACTTGTGCACCTGTTGACAGGTATTTGATTTTGGCCCACTGCTCATTAGTAAAGTGCTCTAATTTGTTCAGGAAAGTTTTTTGTTTTTTTTAAATTATCAACCACAATTCAAAAGCAATGCCTTATTTGACTAAATTATAATTTAACTTTTTAAAAATTTATTTATTATTACTTTTTTCCGTTTTTTTTTTTTAAATGGAGGGGTATGAATAAATTTGAGGATGACTGTAATATACATACGAAGAGTTGCCAATGTAGTATCTTGAGCTTTGAAAGCTAAAAATTAAACAGTTTTCTCTAAGGTAACATGACATCAAGCATTGGCATGTTTCCCACCATTTCCCAGTCCAGTGGAACTGACCCTGCAGATTCTGCACTGATTGTTTACCAGCTGAGGCCACTTGCTGTGAATTAATCGGTCAGTGCTAATCACCTCAAAATGTCCAATTGATCGGCCAACCATTGAATAGGTCCATCACTATTTCCATCATAGGTTTGTTAGAAAGACTATTAAACACAACCTCAATGGCATCACTGCAACATCACCATGGTTATTTTTTTTTCTAGATTAAGCTCCGTTCTCATCTTTACACGCTGACTCGTGTTCCTCATGACAAGTAAAATAAACTTCCCCTCTAAAGTACTCTTCTAATTCCCACTATAGACATGCTCTTACCGTGACCAGATTGATGAGGGCCACAGCGTTGTAATCAATGCCCCACAGGGTCATGACGCCAACGGTGTCCACGATGATCATGACTATGGTGAGCAAGTTGAGGAGGCCGGAACGCAGATCCAAACCTAGCAGCAGGCAGCACACCACGAAGGTCGGCAGCAGACACAACGAGATGTTGAAGAGTCCCTCCGGCACAATAGTCAGGTACTGCTCATAGAACACATTGGTAACCCTGCAAGAAAAAGAACATAAAAATAATGGTTAAACACTACAGATTGCTTCGACTTAATGGCTACTGGAAATTGCAATTTAAAGGAGCTGCCTGTTTTGGCGAGTTGTTGGTTGAAGATGACTTGAAGGAGTTTGGGAAATTAAAGTACATACGTGTAAGGAAACACTTCAAAGTCAGGTGAGGTGCCTGGTATTTGCTTCATGCCCTCTGTGATGTTGGCTGCCAGCTCTCTGGCCATTTGCAAGGCAGCCGTGAACTCCTGAGAGTTAGTAAGAGGTGTGTGGTAAGCCATAAACCTGGAGGCTGGACAGAAAAGAGGAAAAAACAGTTCAATTACTGGCATCTCTTCTGTTTGAATAATATATTTAACTGCTCCGAGTTGATTCGAGGGGATTTACCTATTATTTCTCCATTCTCATCTTTCACCACGGCCGTGTCGTAGGCTCCTAAACCACTGTAACAAGAGACAATAGGCAGTGAGATTGTGGTTTGCATGCTGTGATGTATTTGTGTCACGTGTGCGGCGAACAATACTCACCCTTTGGGGCACTGCAGGTCAGGACGGTTACTCAGAAAGTCTGGCAGGAAGCGGTTGAATTGTTCCACGGTGGGCCTGAGGACGCCATCCAGAGGAGTGGTCATACACTTGCGTCCACAGAGAAAAGCAGCTATTAAGACATGCAGCAGAGTAGGTGTTAGTAAAGCCTTTTTTCATGTATGGAGTTTCAGCGAAGGATGTGCCGTTTTCTCAGCAGTGACTCTCACATATGTTTGCAGGACAGAAGTTTCCAGAATTTGGACCGAGAGTGTACAGACGGCAACATTTGGATCCAGGATTCAACCAGTCAATGTAATCATCCACCCATGAGTTAGCAGGAATACCCACGTAGGATCTACAGGTAAAAGGAATAGAATGAAAATCAACACAACAATCTGTGACACTTAGGCCCAAGTCCACTGATTTCTGAGCCACAAACTCCACTACAAAAGCGTAGCTCACTGATGTGTCTTTAATCATTTTTAAAGGTCTATTATGCGGTGAGATAACCTCTATCATGCTTTTTAGATACACACAATACTACGGTAGGATCAATCTATATGTTAGTTCTTTTATACAATTTAACAGTAAGAAAATACAGTATATCGTCAACCTTAATTTGGTACAGGATAACAACAAAGTTTATGGATTGACTCTTAGTCTCTTTACTGCAGCTATCAAATACAGCAGAAAAACGGGTATGTTATTGTGCATGTCAAATCACAATAAGTAATAGTCTGCTATTCTGCCTATATAGAAAATATGAAGCTACACTCAACAATCGGTTAGCTCAGACTCTCATAAAACCAGGAATCTTGTAGGTCTCTGAGCAAAGGTCACAAAATCCACCAACCAGCAACCCTAATGCCAACGAATTTACACATCAGATCTCATAATTTTCATCAAAGCAAAGACCAAAGTGTAAGAACCACATGCAGTGGTTTTACAAGGGTTTATGTGCTGGATTATTTCTCAGCCTATCTTTATGCTGCAGTAAACTACCTGGCTGTTGGCTGTAGGTTTACTGTGCGGCAGTATCAATTTTCTCATCTGACTCAATGTAAGAAAGCAAATACATGTATTTTCCAATTCAACAGAAACCCCATTTGGATTGCACTTAAATGGTCTGCACTTATTTATTATCTAAGCGCTAAATTAAAAACTAAACCCTTCAGGAAAAGGCAATATATTTATCTTATCTGTCCTTTTATGAGGAGAGCTTTGCTGCTTACCAGTAACCAACTGATAGTGCCAGCTATAAACTGGTCCCATTGACGTCTTTATCTCCAAGGAGCATAAGTGTGCTGTTGTTGCAATTTCATTAATGTCACTGGGAAGGATACTCACACAGCGAACACCTCTACTGTAAGTACAGTGCTACACAAGTTACACAATTGTTTGACAGAAAAGATCCATACTGCTTTACTTAGCGGGCAGAAATGCACCAAGAAGTTCTACTACTCCTATTCATTAGTCATCACAAAGCACCTTGATTCAGTCACAATCCTGTGTCTGGTGTATGTGAACCAAAGGCACCCTCTGTGATCCTCTAACTGAGTTTATCATTAACTGATCTGATGGGCAAGCATGTAAGAGGTTGCTTCTATGGTATCAGTAGGTTCAAGGATATGTCCGTGAAATATGATTATGATGTGAAGGACACCGGCAGAAGATCTCTCTTCATGGTCCTGAGCCAAGAAACTGCTTGCAACTTGTCTTAGAGACTATATTTTCATTTGTTCAGATTATGAAAATGAACTGACCGTTCAGGGTAGTCGGCAGCGTACTGGATCTTCTGGGTCAGTGAGAACTGATCACAGCCCACACTGGAACATACAGCATTCATGCCCTCCACAGTGGTGAAGTTAAAGCCTTTTTTTGTTACAAAATAAACAGGGGCTCCGACTTCAAAGTATTTGTACAGGTAGCTGAAATAGTCCAGCATGTAAGAGCCCTGCACCAAAAACAGAATAATCGATATAAGGTTACATGGAAGAGCAGAGTGCCACGTTCCTTTGTGTTTATGAAGTTAACTGTTTACCGACCTTAGGCATAGCCAGCTCCTGATCCAGACCCACTGTCACTTTCAGCATGAGGAATAAGCAGGCGCAGAACATGAATATGAAAACCAGCATCTGAAAAGAACAGAGAATTCAACAGATATTCAGTTAAAACAGCTCTGTGCATGAGCAGATGCTGTTTTTTGTTGAGCTTGTTTGGATTTCATGTTTATGTTACTCCAGAAGTCAACAGTTGAGAATAACTTTGTCTTATATTATTTTAAATAGATGCACATCTTTACCACTATGAATCTGGTGAAGCTGTGCAGTAGGACAGGGGCGTAGTATTTCCTCATGAAGGGCAGCAGAAAGCCCTCGTTCGGCTCGTTGGAATGCTCTTTGTCTACTTTAACACAACAGATCAGTTCACAGCGGTTGCTGTCCTGGCGACGGGCATCCAGAGACAGCAGCGCCACAAAGGCTGTCATCTGGAGGACAAAGTCCATGAGCACAGCCATAGCAGCATACAGAGCAAAGGACTTCACTGCTGGCATGGTGGACAGGGCCCCTGGTGTAGTGGAACAGAAACATCATAAGCGATTCCTGGTGATACAGTGATACAATTTGTGCTTTAAATAAAAGTAATCAAAGGCTCCTACCTAGAAAGAAGCAGACAGACTCAGACAGACTGCACAGGAGCATGCTGGGGGCCACGTTTCCGAGGACACGACCAATTTGCTCCTCTCGCTTCTCTCCAGGCCTCCGTACATCTCTCTGCATGAAAGGAAGAGTAAGATAGCATTACTAACAATGATCCACAATATCTTGGAAAATCAGCATTATTGTGCATTAGCTGTGCAGCTCACAGACGTACACACCTGGTACTCCAGAACAAAGATGAAGATATTGTCAGCACCGACAGCGAGCACCAGGAAGGGCACGACCTGCAGAATGACCAGCGAGGAGGGGATGCCGATCCACGAGTAGAAACCCATAGAGGCCAGGACCGAACAGCCGACCACCAGGATTCCACCCAAACCCACCAGAAACTTGGAGTCCACCTGCAAGACACAGAGATAAGAATTCACATGTACATTTACCTCAGTGAACCCTTGTCCCTCTGTATCTTTGCTGTATAATGTTTCCTGTATTGTATAACTTCAGGGTCTATAAACTTACATGCTCTAATGTCAAGATAAGCCCTATACAGCTGACATGGCCATACTATGGCACCTTCTCCTTATCATCCATATGATAATGCCTGTTTTATTTGTTTTGCTTTCTAGTTAGAGGCCTGTTACATACCACGTACATGTTGCATGCTTGTATTTTTTGCAGTAAAGCAACCAAAGTGATGGCTTAAAAAGAGTCACTTTGCTAGCAGCTCTTTTACAATGGAGTTAGGTATTTTGGTACATTGAGTTATTACTAATTTTGGCATGCTATGTGCTTCCAGAGACAATACTTCAGCTTTACACTGTTGATTATCTCACGTTACCTTGTTTGTCATGTTAAGTAGCACTCAACAGAAAGTACACCTGAGTCTGATGAGAACGTCATTTGTTTGCAGATATCTGAAATACATACATTGTAAATATTGCTTTTACTTTAATTGTTTTTATATAAAATACCTTGGATTTGCTGTGCTTGTTGGTCATTTGACTTGTGACAATTGCTTCCTTCTTGTCTTGTAATGCTTACTCTTTATTGACTTGCTACACTTTCTTTTTAAAATTTTCAGCTTTAAAAAAAATAAATACTGGTCAGTGTTTACTATTATGCACACTAAGTCAAAATCCTTGTATGTGAAAACCTCACTAAAGGACAAAGTGGGTATAAATAATGGACGAATGATGCAAAAAGTAATGGCAATACTGACAATACCCATTAACTAGTTAGGACTAAATCAGCAGACTGACTAACTCTCTAAAGCCTTACCAGTATGCGTTTCCATGAAGAGTACTCCCCAAGTGCCACAGCGATGTAAACAAAGATCACGGCATAGCTGATCATGAAGATGGGGATGTCTTCTGCTGTCGTTCGATTAATCTCATCCTCTAGAGATCTCTGTAGACAGCAGAGAGACCAGAGAGCGGGCACAAATTAGAAGCTTGGGAGGTCAGATAGTGAGGTAATAAAGAAGAGAGGAGTCAACGCGACCTTGAAAAAGCTGGGGCAGCAGTTCTTTATCGACATTGCTACTGATTACCTCTTTTTTCTTTTTCTTTTTTTGTTTACCTTTGTTACTTAGGAGACAACTGAGAACAGACAGGAAATGAAGGGAGAGATGAGAATTGGACCGCAAAACTGTTTCCTGGTCAGACTTAGACTGAGGATGTTTGGGTTTTACATGGTCAGGGGCTTAAAATCTTAAACCACCAGGATTCCCCAGCGACTGGTATGACTTCTAACAAGTATTCAAAAATTCACCTAGATTTCTTTTCAGAAAATGAACCATTATGAAACACAGTGTCCACTGAGATCCCACGGTTCACTCTACCTCTGCCATGTATGCAAAAGTGAAGTTGGCTGCAGGGTTTTTCTGGTAGTCCTGGACAATCTTTAGAAACTCGGTCTCCCACTGCATAGCCACTTTAAACTTGGGGTCACTGCGAGGGTAGTTGTTGAGGGAGAAGGTCATGATGAAAGCCTCTGCATTGGTGAAGTCATCATCTGGTCAAAGCAAGATGTTTAAGTGAGTTACGAACACCTTCTTTGTGTGTTGTGCAGATGTTTCATGCACAAAAAGATGGAAAGTGACTCACTCGAATAGCCTCCCACTGCCAGAAATGAGAAGACTGGAGCTCCGTAGTCGGCCATGCAGCTCATACCTAAATCAGTGATGTCTTTGAAGGACAATGGCGAACTTGAGAAGAAATAGAAGAAGGGGAAGAGAAGGTTATATCATTGGTGATGAAGTTTCTCAACAACTGCAGATGAATCAGTGGGTTTCAGTGAATACTTACTTGAGGCAGTAGACTAGATGGTCTCTCCAGTCCACCTCTCTGGTCGCTCCCTGATAAGTCATGTTCACCTTAGCGTTGATGTTGTCCAGGCTGTTCTGGAAATACTGTGCCAAGCTGTTGACAGCACAGTCAGTCAGGGAGGGGTTGGATGGGTTCAGCGGTGCGTAACACACATCCTTCAGACTTGCGCTACGGTTCAGATCTTCTGACCAGAACTCAATTTGCTAAAAAAGGCATAGAAGAGGCACCAATGAGTCAAAATAATATGGTGCACTTTTGCAAACATGCTTAGATGCCATTTTTGACAATGTGGTCTTTACCTGTATTTTTTCTTGGAGCTCCAGCAGCTCAATGACAAGTTCTTTGGATACAAGCCCACTAAAGTTCTGCGGTCCAAACACCAATGAGTTATAAATCCCTCCTTTTCTACCCGGGGCTGTCAAGATCAGCTGGTTTGTCCGGAAGAAGGGGCCAAAGTGTGCATCATGGAAGTTTTTCTCCTGGCGGGCCTGGCTGTTGGGAGCAGACCACAGCTCAACCGGGTCAGTGGTGAGCTCAAGAGACTTGAGGCCAGCAGATAAAACAGCCACGACTACAGCAGACGCCAGGAGCACCTTTAATGAAGATAAAATATTCATAATTGAGACTCATTTTCCTCAACCGGCCAACATTTGGCTCTTTTTGTCTTAAAGCCACTGTGTGTTCAATTTGAAAGTATTTACAAAATGTTTAAAATTATTACAGTATCTTTATATTTGTATAAAAACCACATAATCCTGTTGAAAATGTATGTATTTTTCCTCGTGTTCCTGAAACACTCCGTCTATTTAAAAAAAAGTCAGAAAAATTCTAAAGCTACATAAAGTGGCTTCAAGGTGAGACAATGCAATTGCTGAAAGATGAAATAAGACATTTACTTCTTTTACAAGTTGAATTTATGAGTAATGTTTGCTTACATTATCCAAATGTAGACAGATGTGTTGTATTTCGCAGATTCCAAATGTATACCTACCAAGAGGGGATAAGTGGCCATGATAGTTCCCCACGCCCGAAACAGTGAGCTCAGGAAAGCTTGAGCAGCCAAGCTGTTCTTGTCTGCACACGTCACGTCTGATGGATGAATGGTCTGCTGAGGAACTTCATTACTGTTCTGGTCTTTGCCTTTCCTCTTTCTCTTTCCCTTCTCTTCATCATTTGCTTTTTGAAGCTTCACCGAGAAAGAGATATAGACGTAAACCGCGAAGGCAACTACCAGGAGACTGAACAGGATAATACAGATGAAGAGTAAACCATCCATCCCCAACACTTTGAGGGGGGGAGGTGTCGGTGCAGGAGGTGGGACACTCGGGCACGACTCTTCGCAGTCCTGGCAGGAGCAGGCCTCCCCCCCTGATGCCGTGGTCTCGTTACACTTCAGAGCACGTCCATTGTAGGGAATCACACCCTCTGGGACTCCTGTAGTGTCTCCCTCATTCAGCAGTTTGAAGTCGATGTCCAGGGGAGCCAGGCCGTTACTGGAGTCCCCCTGGAAATCATACCAGCGCTGGGGGGTGCAAAGCTTTGCGCCATACCGACCACACATAGTGGCGATCGCGTAGCCTCCTGTGGCTGGGATCCGGACATTTTTGCAAGACTGGAAGGAGGTGTCTGCGAAGTTGGTGGTGAGATATGCCTCATAAGCCACCACAGCCTCCTTCGTAATCCCAAGCTGAGTGACGTTCATGACCTTTGTGACTTTCACTGTTTGGCTCTGGTTGGGGCTACAGGTGGTGATGCAGTGCAGGTGGGCAAAGTTGTCGGCGCAGGAGGGGCATCGGTTCAGCACCGCTTTGGACAGGGTCAGACTCGTCTCCAGGGAATTCAGCTGTTTGATGGAGCAACAGGAGAATGTATTGCCCTCTCCCTTGTCCAACATAGGACACACCTGTAGCAAGGACAGGGACTAGTTTACAAATGACCAACCTAAACACAAGCTCACTTCTTGTCAAAGGAATACTTTTAAACTGCTTTAGTAACAATACTAAATAAAAGAATACCAACTCTTTATTAAGCCCTCCTCTCTGCTTCAGGATCTACAAACCTGTTTAAATTTTTTGTAGTGTTCTCCAGAGATGGCTCGGGCTTGGCTGTAATCGAGACACGGGACGATAGGAGGAATGAGGGTGTTTCCTAGTGACGGGTTTCTACCACACTCCTCATAGAAAGCACAGTAGCCTGGCTCATGTTGGGCCTCTGACAGCACCTGTGTCAAAAACAATCACAGTAGAAGTAGTCAAAGTATGTTGCAGGTTAGTTGAGAAGACGGTTTGGTTTTTAATGAAGTTTCTACTTGCAGGTCATAGAAATTTCAAAACTCTTTTTTGAAAATAATGGTAACTTTGGCATAAGTATGTTTTAAAATCACAACAAACTCAAGTACTGTAAAATTTACCTCGAGTAATACACAATTCAGGAGTTTTAGGAGGATATTTTCAAAAAGTTTTTATTATCATTCCTATGTCCACTGTCATATTTTTTCTTTAAACATTACAGTAAAATCCATAAATGCTATAGCTGTGTTACATTCGCTTTAGCACTACAATGTATCTGCTCTGTCAGCTATTTAACGCCACCTCGGAAAACCAATAAAATGTCGAATGTTGTGCATATTCAAGGTTAAATATAACACCTAGGACAACAAAAGAAGATAACTTCCAAATATTCAGTAACAGTGAATACATCATTTTTAAGTAAGTATTTGAAACTGTGTTTGAACAGTCTTTAAACACAGATTTCCCATCTGAACACATCGTTATGAATAACAACTACGTGTCAATCCGTCACTAGTGGATTGGCCAGTAGCATTCCTAAAGTGAAAATTAAACCAACCCACATCTTTTTATTTTAATGTATTTATTTATATTATTGTATTTTCTTGACTTTTGTGTACACTCCTTTTGATAAACATTTGATGGCATGTACATGAACAAATAGCCTCAAACTTTAAGAGAAATAAAAGAATAGCCAAACACATTGAACCCTTTTGGAACATTTATTTATCCAGGACTAAATTATTGCGTTTCTTGTTTTCACTTTTTACTCATCCACAAAAAAAGGGAAATAGAAAATAAAGCACTATAAAATTTTACTTTAATTTTAGATATTAAAAAAAAAATAGTTGCCGGCATCACTTTTGAAACATCATATTTTAAGGAGTACTGCTGGTTTGACTACATAAGAGTGTAAAGGTAAAAGTGTCTTCCCTACAGTTGAACTTAAACCCACAGAACATGATTCATCTGAGTGGCCCCTAATCTAAGTGACTCATTATGTCTGTGCTGCCAACGTGAACGCCTCTCTAACTTTGGCTTTGAAAGCAGTAATGAAACAATTAAAATTATTTAGAATTTAAATGACATATGTAGTTACATTAATTCTTCTACTTTCAAATCCTGGTCACAGATTAAATCCTAAAGTTCTTTGGAAGAATAAAGTTTTTAATGTAAAGTATAAAAATAAATCAAACAAAAGTGTACAATGTTAGAGCAGTCAGGATTCCAAATAACGAAAAGCGACCAGACCAACTTACCACACAGGCCAGAAAAGTGATCAGGGCTGCGACACGGACCATGATTCCTGAGAGTGTTGCAGCAACAGAAGAGTCCTCAGGTTTGGTAAAATGAAGTGTATGTTTATCACGGCTGTCCTGATGGAAAATACATTAGACAAAGACAGTGACAGGAGTCCGAGTCGTCCTTCGTCTCCCACCGTCTGTCTGTCTAACAGTGTCAGGGCTGGCTAAGGGGAATCATGTCCATCGTCATCCCTCCCGTGATGTCACATGTCTTATCTGGGCTGATGTGGCTGTTGGCCAATGGCAGCTATGGATGATCAATTCTTCTGTTTGATTATTAACAAGGAGAAGATTTTGATAGAGTTGCTGGGAAGATCCAAAAGGAGAAACCAAAACGACAGTCACACCCAGTTCTTCACCTCCACGAATCTCATCATACTTGGTTTTTATTGACGACAGACAAACATATAGACTTTGGTTGGTCTGAATCAGATCTATCCATTCACAGCCACCAGGATACAGTTCATTTGATCGTTGTTAGGAATGTATGCACCACACACACAGGCAAAGTGCAGCACATGACAATAGGCATGAACATGAACTTTAGACCAGCATCAAGTGACACCGCTGTGTAACCATCTGATTTTTCTGTACTTGTTCATGATATATTTCTTTCTAGCAAAAGATTCTTTTAGCTGGTTTTGGTACAAAAGTCTTCGAAACCATCGACAACGTGTAAACAGCAACGGGCTGCCCTACCAGGACAAGATGACTAATCGCTTCCTACATCACATCCAACAAATTGGGATCGGCCTTGCAATTAACGCCGTTATCACATGTCAAGGTCACAGATAAAGCCTCGCTGTCAAATCAGGGGATCATCGGAGCTATCAGGGTGAAGGTGCATATGCATCTAAATCTGTGATAAACACAGATGGTAAAAAAAGACAAGAAGAAATGGGGCAGATATGGGGATGTTCTTTGTTCTAAGCTGATAAGTCACGGCAGCATGCTGAATTTTGTAACTTGCTCCACATGCTGCTTACTGCTGCATACAGCAGTGCACAGTATCCAAATCTAAAGGTGAAACTGTGTGCTTTACCTACATGACTGTCTTTTTGTCTGCTCTTTCTTTATTTGCAGAGTGATTTTAGCGTTGCAGCCACCATTATAGTGGTTAAAATCAAGATTCATTCATTTGAAAACTGCCCGGTTTTATCCGTTAAGATTTTTATATTTTTTTTATCGCGTAATTATTTTATTCCTGCTCAGCTTTATTATGCTTGTGTAACCTTAAGAGATCTTCCTTATGATTGCTCCTTGTGATTGCTGTCTCAACATGTGCAAAGGACTCCACCCATTCAGAAAATTTCTGGAAAGAATAACATCCCGGGAAGTTTTTTTATGCCGACTGAATTATATGTGCTGCTACAATTTCGACTTAAGGAGTTTGATAAAAACGTCATGTAACTGTGGTTTATGTAAGATTCTTTTTGGCCATTTTTGCCTTTTTTATTAGACAGTGGCTGTGCAAAGTGACAAGAAATGTGGAGAAAGAGAGCAGGGGAATGATATGCTATAAATGTATGAATGAAAATTAATAAATGAACTGAAATAAAAACAAAAATGTAAAGTAAAATTATCTGAGATCTTTTTGTAAAAATGTTTCATGCATTTTGGCAAACAGTGCTTACAAGAACTTCTGACAAGACTGAAATACTTTGCAACATTATCCCTTTAACAAATTGATTTATTATGAATAGCATATTTTATTAGTAATGTGTTTTTTAAACTGAGCAACAATTGTTCCTTTAAGTGATGAATTTAACAAAATAAAAAAGCAGTATAAACATTGTGAGGCAAGCTTTTTACATAGAACCTATGAAAAAAATGCAGAGTTTGATGGAAAAACAAAAGAAGAAAAAGTACATATAGAATAAACAGTACTTTTGTGAAGTTTTCCTTGCAAAGTTACAGCTTTTGTTGAACCAGTAAGACCATTTTTCATTCAGTGCTGAGGTTGTTTTTGTGCTGTTTTACGTGATTTTGTATCTGATGGAGTTATATTACATACACAGAACATAAGATACTCTTATGTAACAGCACCACCTGAGTCCTTGATCTCGGGTATGTTAATGCTGTATGCCTTAATGCTTTTTTTTTTTTTAAAGGAAAGTTCTGTTTAATTTTCCTTTTTCTGAAAACTTTTTACTGCACTGTATTTATCAAACACCTTAAAATGAGCAGACTAAATACATTCAGAAGAGGCATATATCATAGGCTCATAAACTTGATATCATTGTTCATTTAAACTACTCTGCCAAGACAAAGAGCGACATTATAATTCAGATTACAGTATAGTTTTGCTGTTGTTATGGTTTCTATGTATGCATGCTTGTTTTTTGTGTATTTGAAAACTCTGAAATAGGCAACTTTTCTCCTTTTCGTTTGTATATAATTAGCTACCACAGAAAAAAAACAACAAAAAAAAATCAGGCAGCAAGGGTGCAAAAATAAAAACCAGGTAAAGCAGTGTGATACTACGGAGCCCCAGAAGGGAGATGGAGAAAGAAAAAAAAAACAGGGAGAGGAAAAAAAAAATTAGAGGCGTCTTTTGCGAGATCTCGCAAAATTTTCTTGGGATCTCGCAAAAGTCAGATCAATGTTATTGGACGTTTTGTGAAAACTGTGCCTCTTGCTAAGCACTGCTTAAATGTCTTTATAGTTTAGGCCGATTTCAAAATAAAACTCAATAAAACTCTCATACAGGTAGGTGTCCTCTATTATTATTATTTTATTTGATTGCAAGATCCCATGAAGGTTTTGTGAGAGCTTGCATTTTTTTTTCCTCTCCCTGTTTTTTTCTTTCTCCATGTCCCTTCTGGGGCTCTGTAGTGATACTGTAACATTTGTAAAAAAAAATAAATAAATGGTGAAAACAGTGACAAATATCTGTAAAAGAAGGAATTACTATCTGTAAAAATGAATAATCTTTTAATGTGGACATTATGTGTTTTTTTTCCCATTTTTTTAAGTCAAAATTTAAATGAATACTTATTCCATGAGATACTGTCTATAATTTCAATATATATTTACCTTTTTTTTTTTTTTACAATTCTTAATACATATAAGTTTTCTTTCAAATAGTGGTAAATATCTTTTGTTTGCTAATGTAAATCCAGTAAAATTAATGACATTGAACAGTGTCAAAAAATGAATTACCATTTGTAAAAAGTCAGATGTTTTTTTTTTTTTTTGTGGATGTTATGTGCAGTTTTGGTCTCTATTTTTATTGTCAAGATGTACAATGAATCTTTATCTCTGATTTTCATCTGTAATTTAACAAACAGAGAAAATCTGTAAAATTCCATTAAATTGCTCAAGAAATTACAGTTGAAAACTATTTAAAACATTCATTTTGTATATGATAATGAGAAAAACGTTTGTTGAATTAGTTTCCATGTGCACTGATACTGTACAGCATTTTCTTTTATCAAACTGCAAAGGAAACGATTGTTAATATAAGACTTAATTTTGTATGAATAGTTCTAATTTATCTGAAGAGGTTTTGGCAGGTAAAAAAATAAATAAAAATTGTACAATGTAGCTTAAGTTACAAACACTGTCCTATATGTTTAAATTCATTTTGCCTTTTGTACATTATACATAGGAGCCTGTGAGCATTTGAGTATTCTAATAAATGATGTATAATTATACATGTTCGATCTACTAAATCAGCATGAATTTTACAGTGCTTGAAAGCCTCAGATTTGTGAAGAACGTAAAAAGAAAACCCCTTACAGAGCGAGAGCTGTCGAGAGATCTTGCCTTCTGTCCGCGGAGCTGCAGAGCATTCAGAAACTACCGTTATAAACCATTTTACACTTTGCTGATTTATCACTAGATAACACACACTTTCCCCTCTTTACAATCAAGCTTATCTGTGATTATTTATGGAGCATCGGGATTATGGAACAAGCTGACTTTTTGGACTCTGACAAGTGTGAAGGGCAGTTTCTTTAGAGAGGTTGTGTTTATCAAATGAAAACTGTCTGAAAGATTAGAATTAGAATTAGAATAGAATTAGAATAAAACTTTATTGATCCCTTCGGTACAAGACCTCAGGGAAATTTTTAGATTAGAAAACCTTTGTACGACGGAGATTGGAAGATCCTGAACTATCTGCAAATACCACCAGACTCGCTCTCATACAGGAGAGTAAAATCATCTGAGAGGTGTTTAGAGGTATTCTGGAGACTACTTGATTTAACTCTCCCTGCTGACCCTTTCTGTGTCTGATTTGTACTGAACAATCAGCGGTGTGACCCTAAATCGTTCATGTGAAACTGCTAAATCTCCTCCACAACACAAAGTTCAGTGATTTAACCCAGCTCTTTCCTTCGTTTGGCAAGCTGCAGCTGTTCAGCTGTTACGCAAACCTGAGCTGTTTCAGTCCATCAACACGGCCTTTGTTGACAAATCAGGCTTTCTCTAAATGCTGTTTCTATTTGGGTTTCATCCTCACGGGTCACTAGATGAAGGGATTTCTTCATGAAACTCAAACACAAGCGCTCGACGTATGTTACAGGGTGCCGACATGACCCCAAAATCAGCATGAGGGGCGAGCAGAGACGGCATTAAAGAAATCAAATACTTGTGTTTTGTACTGCTGAATTGATGAACTTTGACCTTTAAACTTTTACTACATTAAGCAACTGACATGGCTCTACATGAAACTCTGGTGTACTTCTGCGTGACTGAAAACTTTAGTGTTTTTCTGGAGGTGACCATCATCCATCCTGTTTATTAAGCAGGACAAAAACAAAATTGGTGCCCCCCTGCCCTCCCTCCGGGACCTGTACACCTCTAAAGTGAGGAAAAGGGCAGGAAAAATCCTCAGGGACCCCTTCCACCCCGGTCATCATCTCTTTGACGTGCTGCCCTCTGGTTTCTAAGCACTCGGACATCCCGGCACCAGAGCAGTTTTTTCCCTCAGGCCAAATCCCTCATGAACAGTCAGTCAGTAAATCATTAAAGACTCCTGTTGCACTACCTCTGTGCATTATCATGTGCAATGCTTCAATTTCATGTGTAATATTGTAATTTTAACTGTTTTCTAATTTATTACTCTGGTTGAGGCAAGTTTATGTCTCTTTTCACAGTACTTTTTATGTATATAGTACTTTTTTTGTTTTTTTTACTTGTCTTTTACACATATTTAGAATTTCTTAGATTTAGATTTCTATATTCATTGCCTGTCTTGTTATTGTTGTGTACCAGTTTCATTAACCAGGTCAAATTCATTGTGTGTGCCAGCTCACTTGGCAATAAAAGCTTTCTGTATTCTGTCAAAGTAAATCTCACCAGTTTCTTATTGATTGATTGAAGACCCCCCTGCTCTCCACTCTCATTTATATTGCTGTTCTGTGTCATTTAGAAAGATTTCTTTGAACTCTCTCTGTGCAGGTGCGCAGGCGTTACCTCACCCAGTATCACGCCAGGCTGAGCTCGATGTTTATTCAGTAATCATCAACTCTGATTCTTTGTTCGCTACATGGCGGATGAGTCACAAAATGTCTGTGTAGCTATGCAGGTGAGTAATTTCTGAAGGAGTCAAATGCATGAGAGGCCTCTTTTACACAACAAATCTCATATTGTAACAGCCTGGATAACACAGTCGTATATTAAGAGGATTAATCATGATTCTATTGCACTTACTGTTATAAAACGTCACGGCACATTAGTTTATCACTTGTCCGGTTTGTTGACAGAAGTGATTCACTGTGTGGCCTCTTTCCGCAAACTATCAGCAGCTAATAAAATAATCAGGGAGCTTAATTTAGATATTCACGTCTGCCATTTTTTACAATCCCAGCCTAACCCAGTTCTCCGCAATATTCCCTCCTAACCTTGACCTATTAATTATGTGATCTGCAGCTGTGTTTATAAGTGAAACATTATCACAGCAACATGAAAAATGTTGGATTCTGCTGCTCACTTTACAATTCATGACTTGCTCATATTCTCCCTGAAACCACTCAGATTATGTTGTCACATTTTATGCTGCATTGGAAGCAGAAAACTCACACTCTTGACTAAAAGTGAGACAAATCCACTATCAGGTCTGTGTGGGGACAGTCATGTTTGTACTTAAACTGAGCTTGTTGAGGTGGGCTGAGTTATAAGGCTGCTTAGAAAGACTTTTAGAGATCCTGAGTGTCTCTATACTGAATAAAACAATTTTGTTTTTAGGGAATCATGAATTTATTCCAGAAAAGTTAAACATGTTCAGGACAAAAACATTTTCTATCCCTATGAGAACAGCACATTGAGGGAAAAATGTAAAACAAATGGCTCGTCTGGAAGGTTTTGACATTTTAGTTCTAAAACAGAATTCCAAAGTACAAATAAAAAGGTACAAAAAAATACATGCAGTTTTCAAAGTTCAAAAGGAACCTTTACTACCTGAACTTAAAGTACAGTGAGTATGAAAAGGGAAGAAATAGACATGTGATTCAAAATCTGCGCTGCTTATTAGGTCCATAGTCTCCAGGCCCGGGGAGGCCTCTGGGAAAGCCGCCCTGACCTCCTCCGGGCATGTTGTTGTTTCCTGGTCCCGACATCATTGGAGCATTTTCAGCAGCCATGCCAGCAGTACCAGCAGGACCAGAATTACCACCCATTGAGTTTCTGTTCATGGGCATCCCATGACCGCCCATATGCATCCGGATGTCTTGCTCCCTGTTTTCTGAGAAGTTGCCCCTGAAGCCCTCCTGCTGCCTCTTCATCATCTCCTCGTTGCGCATCCTCATCTCCTCCTCTCTCCTCCGGCGTTCCTCCTCCTGCCGAAGCTCGGCCTGTTTCCTCTTCTGCACCTCCTGACTGTGGAGCTCCTCCATCCTCCGCAGCTCCTCCTGCCGCCTCAGCAGGTCCTGCCTCATCAGCATCACCTGATGCTCGTGTCTGGCTGCCTCCATCTCGGCCTCCAGCTTCTCCTGAGCCTCCTTCATGTTGCGATCCACCATTTCATACTGCTGCTTCTCCATCTCCATCAGGGCCTTCCAACGCATGGCATACTCGTACTCAAAGGAGCCAGGCTGGGCAAATCGAGGCGGCTGCTCACGCTCTTTGTGATACTGCTGGTTTTTGTTTATTAACTTTTCTGACAGTCCCTCTTCTTCATCAAACTGGTCCATAGGTTCCACTGTAATCGGTCGAGGAAAAGCTGTGAGAAGATAGGCACCATCGCTGCACTTATCCAAAGCCTTTCTTGCAGCTGGCTTTGAGGTGTACTCCACTATTCCCTTCCCTGTGGGCCTCCCTCGGTCATCCACGATGACCACAGCTCTTTCTATCAGACCAAACACAGCAAATGCCTCCTCCAGCAGCTCGTTGGACACAAACTCTGGCAGATTCTTCACACTTAGAGCAGCACCGTGTGTAGCGAACCTCACCCGTATGGGCCTGCCCCTGAACGGGGTATCATCCAGCTCGGCTCTGGCGATCTCTGCTATGATTCTCGTCTCCAGCCGGATGAAACCGAAGCCTCTCTCCTTGTTGATGAAGATTTCGCTGGCTTTTCCATACTTGGCAAAGAGCTTCTCCAGATCCTCCTCGGTGATCCCAGTCGGTAGGTTCCCTACAAACAGCCTGCTCCGCTGGGTGAAGGTTCTCTCACCGGGCTTTCTGAAGCTCTGCGGGTCTAGGGTTAAGGCCTCGTTGGGGTTGGTCTGCTCGCTGGGCTCGGGCTGCTGGCCGTTGGTTCCCTCGCCTTTCATCTGGTCTCCCGGGCGGTTGGGTCCGTGGTTCTGCTGGGGGCCTCTGTTTCCTTGCATTTTTGTTACCGAATTAAAACACGAGTCGGCAAGTGGCTCGTTAAAAACACGCAAACTCTTAGCAGGCGATGTTGCACAAAGAGCTGCAAAGATGGCGAAGCTGCCGCGACGTTATTGTGACCTCAATTCAGTGCGACGTATTGATTTAAATTCGTGACGTAACATCCGTGCGACGGTGGCCGGTTTTGGATGTAAAATCGTGTTTTTTAATATATATTTAATATTCTGTTATCTCTATAAATTGATGTGGAATGTGTTAATTGCGTTAGGTTTTGTATTTGTAGAAATCATCTTTTGTGTTTTTGCTCCTAGCACATGTTCTCGCGAGATTTACGCACTCATCTCGGGAAAAAAATAGTTATTCAGTGGCTGATTTCGCGGGAATTGTTTCTGCCGCTCGCTGACAAGGAGTAAAATCAGCCATTTCTTCAAATATAGCATATTACCTGATATTAAACGGATAACAACTGAAGTTGTACCTTTTCTCTTCTAAGGTAGGACCGTTGCATCTGTTACCTCAGCTCTATTCTCATAAAAAGTTGGCATGTTTTGGAAGAGCTGTCTACTAACTGTCACTCACGCTAACTTCGTAGGTTAGCGCAAACCTTCGACTTGCTAGCCTGATAAATCCACTGTATGTGTACTACATGTAAATAGCAAAGTAGAACTCTCCTCTGCCTCTTGCAGGGCAGTCATGTTCTCCGACCTGAGTGCCCAGAAGGAGGGCTCCTCTCTGCTCTCCCGCCCTGCCTCCGAGGACCAGGGACCGGCAGTATTTGAGAGGACGTCGCTGGCCTACAGTCCCTGCTCCGAGCGCTACAGTGTCGGGGAGCGGAACTTCGGCCGCCAGTATGCTCATATTTACGCAGCTCGACTCATGCAGATGAGGCCCCTGCTGTCACAGAGAGCTAAGCAGAAATGGGGTAAGCTCAGGTCAATCTCACCTACATCTGGAGCTCTGAATCATCAGAATTATTTAAGTGTAATGTCTTTATTTCTGTCTCCGCTAGGATCAGATGTGCTCATCAGGAAGCTGTGCGATATGCAGACAGGGGAGCAGTGTTGCATTGTGGGGACCTTGTTCAAGCGTATGGAATTGCAGCCATCTATTCTGAAAGAGATCAGTGAGGAGGTCGGCAGTCACGCACAAGTTTGTTAACCCCCGGCAAAATGACATTTGCTGCCTGCATGTATGACATTTTTCTGTTTTCCTCTGTCTTCAGCACAACCTCCTGCCCCAGCCTGCACGTGCCAAAAACATTAGTGAAACAGATGAGCTGATTCTGGAGGATGAACTCCAGAGGATCAAACTAGAGGGCAAAATCGACAAAGACAAGTGTGTCACGGGTCAGTGTTTTTCTTAGTATGTCAAACATCACATCAGCTCTGAACACATGTTCAAAATGTAAAGACATTCCTGTCTTTCTCTTTCAGGCAGTGTTATTGCAATATATGGAGCTGAGAGAAATGATGGGAAGTTCACAGTTGAGGACTTTTGCACAGCGGATCTCCCTTTACAGAGAGCAAGACCTGCTCTCAGCGCTGACAGGTCAACACACACACACACACACACACACACACACACACCTACAGTATAAATCCCAGCCTTCGGTGACAATGATGGCAATATTTAAACAGCATTCTTTGTCTTTGTTCAGGTTTTTGCTCCTGGCCTCAGGCCTTGGTCTCGGCAGTAGTCGTGCTGACAGCATGCTGGGACTACAGTTGCTGGTTGACATGGTAACTGGTCAGCTTGGTGACCTGGGTGAGCAGAGCGGGGCAGCGACGATATCCAGGGTTCTGCTGGCTGGAAACCTCCTCAGCCAAAGCACCCAGGACAAGGATGCATCAACAAAGGTATCAAAACTGAATTTCCTGTACACACAGTCATTTGTGTATACTTTTGTTAGTTTTCACTGATTCAGGAAATTGCCCTTGTAAGCACATCCAATCACAAGACTCTAATATCTGTTTTACAGTATCTGTTTTTTATTCCAGGCCAAGTACCTCACCAAGAAGACTCAGGCTGGCAGTGTGGAGGCCATTCGTTTGCTGGATGAGCTGCTGCTTCAGCTGGTGGTGAGTTTGCATCCTCTTCTTTGCATGTATAGACATTTTCTTTTTATTTCCAGTTTGAATTGGGCTTCATTGATGACATAGTGTGGCATGATATGAAATTTTCTACATTCGGTTTTTCACCATTGTAGTCACAACTCCTTAAATACCTCTGGTTGACATAAGCCATGATGATATTGTTGAAAATGATCCAGTGGAACTGCTTTATATGAAGAGTGGGTGTTTATATGATTTTTTTGTATCAGTATGATTAAGTGTTTAGTTTTATGTGTACTGTTGTTTTATTGTTCTCACCATAAACTGTTTCTCAATTGATTTTCCATAAAATCCACAAAAATCATTATGTATTAGTTTAAAGTTACTTTGAATTATTGTGTTTTTCCACATCAACAACCCCTATGATATTATTTATCTGTTGCATGATATAAAATGAGTCAGACTTCAAACATTTAATTAGTAAAGTGAGTAGCAATACAAAATATTTTCCTGGTTATTAAATATGAGAATACCTGCTTTTCTCTTTTATTATCGTACTTAAAACTTTGGAGTTTAAAACTGCTGGACAATTTGGAGACTGACTCACGTTAGACTGAAATTGTAACAGTGTTACTGTTTTCTCACGTTACAAATACTAAATAATAAATATGAATAATATGCATCATAACATAAAAAATAACAAATTTTGCTAGTGAAAAAATACCTGCAGTTCTGAAACACTTTTAAAAATAAATTTCCCATTTATTTAAATTTACCATGTAAGGTAGTTAAGCCTTAGTGGATGTGACCGAGTGAAGTGTGATGAAAAACAAAGAAGGTAACATGGTGTATTTTAACACTGAGTGTTTTGTTTATAACCAATTATCGCTTTTGGTAAGTTGGTTATGATATGATTATTATCTAATGCTGTATGTTGCTGCTTCCGACTGATTCAGGCTTCAGTTCCAGTGGATGTAATGCCAGGCCAGTATGACCCCACCAACTACACCCTCCCACAGCAGCCTCTCCACCGATGTATGTTCCCCTTGTCCTCTGTGTACCCCACACTACAGCTGGCCTCCAATCCATACCAGGCTGACATCGATGGAGTGCGGTAAGCAGTGGCGCACACATGCACACTCTGTCATCTAAAGTGAGAGTGAAGAAATTTTTAAGACTATGTTTTTGTTTGTTTCTGCAAAGGTTCCTGGGAACATCAGGCCAGAATGTCTGTGACATTCAGAGATACAGCAGCATGGACAGTCATGTGGAAATACTGGAGGAAACACTACGACTCAGACACCTGGCGCCTACAGCACCTGATACACTGGGTTAGTTGCTGCAGAATAAATCACAAGACCTCTGGTAGTCTGAAGCATAATATTGGTTCATTTACATTGTTTATTTTTTTGTATTAGGTTGTTATCCATTTTACCTGAAAGACCCTTTCATCTTGGAAGAGTGTCCTCACGTTTACTTCAGTGGCAATGCCCCAACCTTTGAGTCTAAACTCATCAAAGGTCAGTATGTGATGTGTGCATGTCAATGATCTCTCTTTAGGCCCCAAAATGCAAGAAATATTTTTTTTCTTTCCAAGGCTGCAGTCTTCAGGTTATTTGGTTGGTTGATAGGCTCTCATCTGATCAAATTCTGGTCGGTCAGAGAATCACTTGTCTCACTTTTTGAAGAGGAGAAAAGGGCTACATCAACAGCTTATCAGGATTGATTGACGTATCCGTGAACACCTGAGTGTCTTCATGAATTTGAACATGCCGAGCCTAATGGAGACTGCTCGGTCTAATTTCTTTTCCGTTTACTGAACATTTACTTAGTTGTTTCCAAACTAAAAGACACCATGTCGAAGTAGTTGTTGCTATAGCTGCATTTCATTGAAATGAATGGCCAAAGAATCCAGTGTAAACTTTAAAAGCAGCAATTTTAATATCACAGCTCAATGACCAGAAACAGTAGGCGAACTCATCTGCATTATGTTACTCAACAGTTCTGAAAATCAAATTAATGTGGACAGGTGTGTGCTGGTCAGCTCCAAGTCTGTTGTCATCATTTTAGTGTAAAATAATGAGGTTAAAATAATTTTATGTGCAAATGCTACTTTTTAATGTTTATTTATAATTCATTTAGGCTAATAAGGCAAGCAGGTGGCATAAACTCATTGCTCTTCCGCAGATTTTTTAAAATCAAGTGGCAACGTGCAATTTATATATTTCTTTTTCCACGTCCAATTGATTGGTTGAAGAGTAGGTACGATTTCAGTCAAAAGATTTTCTTTGGTTCACTGCAGCCCTAATGTTCTCAGCCATATTCCATTTGAGCCGGTCTCTTTCCTAACACTAATGTGTGAGTGTCTTTCTTCTTCTCCTGCCAGGTCCTGATGGTCAGGAAGTCCTTTTGGTCACAATTCCAGAGTTCAGCAGCACCCAAACAGCTTGCCTGATCAATTTACGCACTCTGCAATGTGAGCCAGTCAGCTTCTCAGCCTTCTCCGCTGACGAAGACGAAGAAAGTGAGATGAACATCAGCCACTGAGGGTTAATATCTGTGACACTTGTGGCACACTACTGGTGCTCATTCAGACTTATTTCTCCTAAACGCAGACTGTTTAAATCAACTTTGGGTCAGGAATGACCATCTGTGCAACTCTGATGCTGTCCAACACAGCTCTAGTGTTTCCTTTCTTAAACTGTAAGAGAAAAACAGCCCTGATATACCAGAAACACAAATCAGGTGCTAAAAAAGAGAAGAGACACACATTGTGTATTAATAAGCCTTTATTTGAAAAATAACTCTTCTACCCCACCTGTGTCTGTCTGTTACCAACTGTCAACTGCTTTTCACACAACAAGTGACTATTCCTACTGTAAAAATAGTTCTGCATGGGTGAGAACAGTGTAAATAATTCAGCTGTTTTTTTTATGTGCATCCACAATAAACATCTTTTCATGAAGCAAAAGGCATTCACAAAAAAAAACACTGAATGAGCCAGAAAATGCAATGTGAACTTTGAAAAATGAAATACCATTATTTAAATGGATCCATTTGTGTAAAGAACCATTATTTCAAGTGTTAAGTAACAGATACACTATCTTAATATAGTTAATATTCTGTGCATTCCCATTGCTTATGTTGTACAAAGACAGGATTCCTTGTTTCACTCTTCAACCAGCTCAAAGTACAACATGGCAATGAGAACTACAATTAGGAGAGGATGGTTGTTTACTGAAACAAGCCCTGTGCGTTTGGTTTAATAGTCATCAATCTTGTACTCGTAGTTATAATCCAGGATGGAGTCTGTGAACCCACCAGGTGTTGAGGACTGTCCCTCCCCTACGAGCCACGAGTCGTACCAGGATGTAGTGGTCTCTGGTGTTGTGGGGATTGTGGTTGTTGTAGGTGGTAACGTCGTTGTCGTCGTCGATCTTAACCTCAATAATCTCTGTTGGCGAAGGCGACGAATGCGAGCAATCCTCAGCCTCCTCTGCCGTTCAGTGAGACGTGAACTTGGAGAATACCCGTTGTTGCCATTGACCACATTCCTGTGGCCATTATTAACTGAGGAATACTGTGTTCTGCCGTTGCTGTAGCTGAGTCGGATGGGCTTGTTGCCATGGAGGGCCATGATCTGCAGAGAAATTGGGAAACAAACTTTAAATCCTGTAGGACAGACGTGTTGGTGTGATTTAGGTTCAGGGTGGGCAGAGTGTTACCTGCTTGATGCGATCCCAGTTGGACTTGGCAAGGTTGAAGCTGCAGGCGGTCGCTCCTGGTTGATATCCCACCACACAGAGTTTAGTGACAGGGGAGAAGCCCTCAGCTCGAGCCGTCACACGGTACTCCCCGGGGTTAAGCAGCCTCCAGTAGTCCCCTGTTGATGCTACAGCGGCAAAGAAGGGAGAGAGTGGGTTTCAGGAAGTTTGTTCTTTGTACAGGAAGTTTTCCAGACAGAGTAAAAGAAAAAATTCAATGAAAATCTCTGTAGAAAAAAGGTTTTCAGTTTAGGACTAGGCTTCATCAATTTTTGGGCTAAAATGCAAGAAAAGAGACCAGAGTTGTGAGCAGTATGCTGACCTGTGGTGACGTCGTGGTTTATCCCCTCGACAGATATCGTGGCGTTTGAAATGGGGTTCCCCTGCTGATCCTTCACAATCCCTCTGATGCCACGATGGACCTAAAGAATGGGGGATAGCTGAGTTAGTGAAGGAGGCTGACACATGTATCTAATAACAAGTTAGATTCCAGTAAAATCAGTAATTCTAGTTTTGTGGCAAATTCAGCCCAATTTCATTTAGAAAGGAAAGAATTACACACCAGTCTAAAGCTATATTTACAAGGCTCAGTCAGGTTTAAGTTTGCTTTGATCTTTGTCTCTGTCACAGAACAGGAAAGGAAGGGATTTTCTTTTTTTGGATGAATAGAAATGGCTTGTAATTTCATGTAACTATAGGATATGATTGGCAATTGAAATGTTGCTGATAGCTGTCTTTAAAAAGCTGCTCTTCAAGTCTAGCAAATTTCATTTATATAGAACAAAAGCCAGTGGCGGAAAGTAACGAAATACTCAATTAACTGTAATGAAGTGCAGGTTTGGGGTACTTTTACTGTACGTAAGTATTTCTATTCCCTACTACTTTATACTTCCACTCCACTAAAGTACTTTTCTGTCTAAACTTCTCACATGGTTTTATTTCAATAAATCTTCAAATTATCCAATATCTCAGCAAAAATCAAAGATTTGAAATAAAATGCAAGAACTGTAAACAGATTTGTAAATTACAGCTTTGTTTTCTCTTCTTTCCTCACCTTTATGCGTCTGCATTCACCTGTAGCCCACAAATGTAATGCACCGTGTTCCTGAATTCAGTTAGTGTTATAACCTGTATTTTGAGGCGGCTGCCAGCGCCACCTTGTTACTCTAAGACGTGTAGAATCTTGTTATTGCCTAACATTTTTCTGTGATGTGGTCGTTTTTTTCACCATCTTTGCTGTTGTCTTTGTGGCAATACCTTGCTAAAGGGCATAAAAGAAAGATCTTGTGTATATCCTCCTCATCAGTTCAGGGATTTGTGCTGGTTGTACATTTGATTAACTAACAATCACTTGACATGGCATCTTAGGTTATGTTGTGGAGTAACGTAAAACTAATGTAACAAATTATTTTCTTCCGTGAGAAAATAATTCATTACTTTTTGAAGAAAAAGTAGTGTGTGCTACATTACTTTGGGTGTGTGTGTGTGTGTGTGTGTGTGACTGACCTGCTCCATGAATGTCAGCATCGCTTCTCTGTTTTTCTCCCACTCGTGTGCCAACTCGCTCTGATGAGGGAACTTATCACAGCCCAGGAATATGGACAGCTCGAAACAGTTGGTGTGCAGGTAGCTGAAGTCATTCATACCTGGAGAACAGGTCAAACACACTCTCGCATGTTAACCTCAGAGCCTGTACTGCACAAACCCTCCACCAGGGTGTGCTGTAAACGTGCAGACGTTTATAGATGAAACCCTGTACTCACTGCCCGTGATTGGCTTCCATTTGGCCCGGTTGACGAGCCCATGGACTCCTGCCCCTGTGTCTCCATGGCATGATCTGTGGTAGCTGTGAGTCATGCTCAGGTGTGTAGAGGCGTAGGAGACAGCCAGCCACCTGAACAGGGACTCGTCTGCGATCTCCCGGGGCTCATCTTCGGGCTCGGCGTACTGGTATCCGGCGCTTCTTCCTCTGTCATCCTCCTCCTCCTCCCCCCGGTGGCCATAACCCTGGTTGTAGTTGTGGTCATAGCCGTGTTCGTAGCCGTGTTCGTATCCGTGGTTGTGGTCGTAGCCGTGGCCCCTCCACTCCTCCTCTGGCTCAGCGTATCCCCGACTCCTCCAGTCTTCCTCTGGCTCCTCGTGGTAGCCCCTTCCCCACTCTGTCACATCAAACCCTTCCTCTTCATACCTGCAAGAAACAATCCTAGTTGAACTATGTAACAAGAGTGTGGCTCGGTGACAGCTATGCAAGAGAAAGTAGGAAGGAAACTGGGGGATAAATTGGTGTAAAGCAGGGGAACAACAACTGAGCACAGGGAGCGAAATAGGTTGAGCAAGTCATACTGTCGCTTCTTGCGGCTGTGGGGTTTCTGGCTCTCAGCACGTTTATTGAGACGTAAGTTGTCATAAGGATAGGCCACAATTGTCTCCCCGCCCTGGAAGTTTGCACCCAACACAAATGGATGGCTTTCCATCCAGGAGATTATGGCCCTGGTCTCCACAGCCATCTGGAACCAAAACAGGAGGATCAGGATCACACAAACAGAGCAGGGAAAACCAGTGTTAGCACAATATACCCTCATCTTTGTAGAACACAAGCAAGTTTACAAAAGTAGAAAGTTCTTTTACATGCATTTAGGGGGAAAAAATGTTGCATCTGAGCAGAGAGAAAGTATTAAGGGGAAGCTATTGCATTTGGAGATTCTTTGCATTTCAGCAGCTCTTAAATGGAGCTCTTATATCCTCCACACAACATGACCCGTACCTTTCCTGAGCTGCTGTCTGAGTTGTCTGGTATGGGCACATGATGGTTGGGCGTGAGTTTGGGCACCATGCCTTTGTCTTCAGCATCCCACAAGATGCTGTTCAGGTCAGGGAAGTTTTGGAAGATGTCAAAGCCCTCCTCTGTGAAGTGTCCTGTCATCCAGCTACTCAGCTCTGATCCCTGCAGAGAAGCATTTGGATGAAGAACACACTGACCCAAATTGCTCACTAGGATTCACTGGCATCTCTCATTTTTATTTCCATTCATCTATTTTTTTTCCTTCTTTTTACACTGACCGCTTCAAAAGCTGTCTCGTGTCCATCAGGGTTGAGAGAGGGTACCAGGTGGATACGTATTCCCTCCACCAGGCGCTGTGCTCTGGGGTTTCTGTCCTTGTACTCTTTGCACAGGTACTGCATGAGAAGCAGGATCATCTCTCGACCCAACGCCTCGTTTCCGTGGAGACCTGCCGTGAAGCGAAACTCCGGCTCACCTGAGGAGACAACCAGGAAAGACCGTAATTACGTGTTAACTATTATCTTCGGGCCTCCACCTGGTGTTTATTTGTATTTACAGGATACACAATGGTGCCATCAAAGTCCAGCAGCTTATATTCTTGGAACATTTGAGAGAAAACAGCTGGTTTGGTGCTCACTTGTAATGAAAACATGCTTTCAGAGCTTTATTCTGGTATTGATTATGTACAAAGAATTACTGAACATTGCAATATAAACAGTTCTGTCTGCCTCTGTTGTACTCCCACCTATTTCATGCTCAGTGGGGTTGCCAGAGATGACCATGGCAATGATTTCGCGTCCTTTGGAGCTGCGGCCCAGGCTGTAGATGCTGGTGATGTTGGGACACTCGTCATTCACTGACTTCATGAGCTGAACAGATGAAACGATTTTTTAAAAAAAAGTCAACGTGTAAAGAAGTAATTATAATATTACACCGATGATTGTTAAAGATGAACTTTGTGTTCCTGTGGAAAGGTCGTGTTGCCCTCTGGTGGTTGAAATTACTAACTGAGAAGGAATTAAACCTCTGCAGGGAATTTAATATCAGTTCATATTAAAGTGGATAAAAGTAGACCCCCGGGTTGTGAAATCGCATAGTTTCCAGGAGAATAACTGAGGATTTTCAGTGAAATCCAGGCTGCCTGCAGATGTTCATGCACATGCATTGACACTCACTGCAACCATCTCTGTGTAGCTGTGGTGTTTGAACTCCAAGTAATCCACAGGAGTCACTTCATTTTGTCTGTACTGAACTTCAGCTGGATCTGTGAGCAGAAAAGAACCATAAGTTATTTATTTTGTGTGCTTTAGCGTGCATACACATGAGTGTGTTAGGGAGGCTCACCAGGCAGGGGGCAGCCTAGGACCTCCAGCCTCATGCAGAGAGAGCCGTTCCAGCTCTGAGGGATGATCCGGATGTAGCGGG